GCAGCACAAGTCAGCAAGGGGCCAAAAGGCAGGAACCTTGTTGAATTCTGCAGGGCTTTGTGGAATGATCTTTGCCATCACAGCAGATGGCGAGTTCTTTCAAAATGAATACAAGCTGCCAGGAAGTTCCCATGCAGAGTGCTGTTGGAGCTGTGGGGCAAACAGGTCCAGTCACCCACACAATGACTATAGAGCTGGAGCCAAATGGAGGGAGACCATCAAGAACCATAAGGACAGCAACCCCACAGACCACCTGATCATGACAGTGCCAGGCATCAATGGCTACACCTTGGCCTATGACTCTCTGCACATCTTGGAGCTGGGTGTTTCAGCCCACATTGTGGCCAACTTCATGTTCGACATGGTGGTGAAGGCAGAATTGCCAGGCAGCTCTTTTGAAGCCAGGCTGAAGGAACTTTTCAGAAAACTGTCTGGCTTATACACTGAGCTGGCCACAGACTCCAGCAACCAAGTGAGAAGACTTCACTTGTCCACTTTCTGCCAGCCCAACAAGAAGTGGGACAGTTTTCCTGAGCTCTCAGGTGTGAAAGCAAAACAGTGAGACACCTCATCCCTCCACTCCTGGAACTCAGCCAGGATTTGATCGATGAGAGCTCTTACAAAAAGCACAGGCTTGAGTGCATCAAGAACCTCAACCAAATGTATGAAGCTATGGAGTGCCAGGGGCTGCATCCTGATGAGTCAGCATATGAGCAGTACAAGAGGAGCACAGAGAAATGTTTGCTCCATTACAGCAAGCTTGCCAAGATTGCAATCTCTCAGAACATTCTTCAATGGAACACTGTGCACAAGCACCACTTGGCTTGCCATATGCCAGAACAATTTAGGCACTTGAACTGCAGGTTTGTGTCAACATACTCTGGTGAAACAATGGTGGGCTTCATGGCCTCTCTTGGGCACGCCTGCCTCAATGGCACTCCTCCACATTTGGTGCCTGCAAAGGTTGCCTGGAGATATAGATTGGGACTGCATCTGCGGGTGACACATGGTGACTTTGACCTGGCGGATTCTGAAGAGGAACTGTGAGTCCTGCAAAAGGGCTGCATCTGTCCTGCAAAAGGGCTGTCTATGGTCCTGCAAAAGGGCTATCACCCTGACTTTGCCTCATTGTGCCTTGAAAAAGGAAGCAGCTGTCTCAGGAAGTGGCACCACATGCTGGCCACATGTTTCTGAAAAAGCTGTTCATTTTCTTCAGATTCATACATTCTAAACCAACAGGATCCTGTTGAAAAAAACAATAATGGCTCTGTTGCAACAAGGCTTTTAAAAAATGCACCTTTCTATTTCAACAGCTTTTTGTGTTTCTGTTGAAACAAGACTTCACTGTTGAAATATGCGTTTTCTGCTGAATCTTTTCAATAAGGCGCACTCTGGGTACGCTGTTTTCACGACCATTCGCATTGCCGTCTACAATTTCACGTTTTTCACGGTTTTCCAGGGCCATTCAACGTTTTTCCACGGCCAAATGCACACTTTTTCACGGCCAAATCTTGTTTTCACGGCCATATCTTGATTCCAAGGCCAAACCGTTTTTTTCGAAGCCATTTGGCCAAACGGCCTTTGGCCTTCTTTTTCGCGATCAAACGGCCCCCCAGGTCGTCGTCGTCGTCCTCGTCCTCGTCCTCGTCCTCGTCCTCGTCCTCGTCGTCGTCGTCGTCGTCGTAGTAGTAGTAGTAGTAGTAGCAGGAGTGGTAGTAGTAGTAGTAGTAGTATAGTAGTCGTAGTCGTAGTCGTACGAAGACTGTACGCTGGAAGTTATATGAGTTTACAGAATCCCTGAGACTCCATGCTGACCATATTTGATAACATTAAAATGTTAAGCTGAGAAGGCATCATTTAAATGTTGGCCTGAGAAGATGACATTTGACATACTAGATTTGTCGAACATGGATGGGATAGCCTGGCTGTATATGCAGCCATTTTTCCATCAATTTTCCTTGACATGAGACGAGCCAATGCAGCCCGCCAGGATCTTAGACGTTGTGTGTACAAGTTTGAACCATCTTAGTCATTAAACCACTCAGATTTCATGTGTTTTCTCAAATTGATATCTAAATAAGGATATACTTTTGTAGTATGACCAAGGCCGATGGCAGCCTTCAGCTGTGCAAACTTCGGGTGCCCGCTTCCTGCCTGCTTTCAAGAATTTCATATGCATATGTATATACCTACAAGCTCGAAGTCTTCAATCTATATCTTAAATATAGTGCATAGCCCTGTGATCACATCAGTTCAGCGCATGTTTGGCACGCTATGAAGCCATTTTCATATTCACTTGGGTGGGGTGCCAAGCTGGCAGCGCCTTTTTGTGGGGATGGTGCGAACCTCAATTTTGTGAAAACACAATGTGAAGAAAACAATGGTTTGTTCATGGTCGAGGAATTTAAACTTTGTTTTGCAACCCTCAAAGGCCTCCGTGGAATCCCAGTTCGAGCTTCTTCAGGAGATTGATGTTGTGGTGAAATGCGTTTGCCAATTAATTGTTGCAGTTGAACTTTGTTCGTTTTCTTCAGGGGAAGGGTCTGGACAGCAGTTGTGTTCTTTCCCCATCGGGTAATGTGGAAGGACGTGGTGACTTCCTACGTGTTGCGCGGAAACTTTCTTTCTGAACTTCGAGATGATCCCCAGAAAAGGTTTTTCTATGACCTTGACACCTGTGATGCTCAGAGCCTTCAAGCTATTGAGGCCAATTATAAGTTTCTGCTAAATGTCTGTGCTACTCTGGCGGCAGAGAGCTGTGTGCCAGCACATGGAGTGTGGAAGGCGGGGTGTTATTTATTTGCACACCAGCTCATGCAAGTTTGATGAACTTAATCTTGATAATTTGGGATTAAACCTCCCTTGGAGGCGGTATGGGTCAAATTGGCGGAAACCTATGGCATCTTTCCATCGAGGACACGGAAGAAGGTGATCCGTGCCAGCTGGCTAAATTTATTTCAGCAAGCTGCCTAGCTAGTTAGAATGACATGTGGTTTTGTACCACTCACCTTCTGGCCCAGGATTGGGCGTCTACTCAGTCAGGGTTGGCCCGGGCCATGACAGTGCACAGCTTCTCTGTAACTATGAGGTCTCGTTGCCAAATTGCATAACCCTAGGTCGGTAATATACAAAAATGGCAGTTAAGCATGGGGTATATGGCGATATGTGCGATACATACTAAACATACCTTGAGGCACCTAGCTACCTCTTGGATGTGTACAGCTGCATGAACAGTGAACCCGGCCGTCGCTCAGGGCATGCATCCACTGGCTCAGAACATGCAAATGTTCAGGTTTCTTGGAGTTAGTAGAAGTCATAATCATATTCATGATTCATGACGCAGTAAAGTATATGCCAATGGAATTTATCATATTGTAATCATTGTGCATATGAAAAGTAACTTATGCCTTTAAACTGGACCACATTGAACAAAGGGCCAAGATTCCAAGATTATACGATATACTGAGTGGATCATGCAAAACAGAACATCACTGTGCTTCGCTGCCGCATGCTATGGTGACTCTGGGAAATTGTCCCGGTGAATTCGAAGACGAAGTACGGCAGAGATGTGCAGCAATTTACGATTTGTTGCTGAAAGCTGCCAGACCGGTGCTACAATTTGGGACTGAAGCGGAAGAAACTTAGCTTATTGGAGTTCCAAAGAAAACATTACAAATCAGATTGTATAGACGATCTAAACATACACTTACAATATTGAGCAATGAACCATAAGAACATCATACCTACTGTCACAATGGCGGGTGAGTCTTAAACTACTAAGATATTAATTTAATATGTGTTGTAGTTTTGTATTATAATATATATATATATATCCTATTACTATACCATTCATTACTTGACTTGATGGAGATTGATATTAGCAAACATCTTCATCTTGATGTCGACTATGGTTGATAATGTGGATCAATATTATATATATATACATGACGAGGAAGAACATGATAGGGAAATAAAACATTCATATCTGTCCGTTATGAGGTACATGCATTTCGAGACGCTGCGCTGATGATCTTCAGCTTGAAGCAGGCAACTTGCCACACATGCTTCAAGTTTTATAGCATATACATTAATTATTGTATTAATACTGCCGGATGACACTATCAAACAATGACTATGAAGCGTCTAGCAGCTATACCAACACAAGAAATATAGTTCATACAATAGCCAGAGTCAATCAAGCAGCCATTTGATCTGATCAGGGAAGGCATACAACAACACCTCCATCGGAAAGTGCGTTGTTACCGAGTAGGGATCTACATTTGCCAACCGCTAGACCCCATGGCCATATACATTTGTTTTGTTCAGTACTCGCCGCCCTGTGCTCGACAGAGGCAAAAGCCAAGACGACTCACGCCCACATGGCGTCAGCATTCACTCCTGCGGTGAAGGGTCACAAGGGTGGAAGACCGGCATTTTCGCTTATGCAATTGTACAAATGTATGGTTCTGATTCTGGGATTGAGATGGTAGTAGCAACTATCGTTTTCTTTATCGGATTTCACATTTACATTTTGCAGGTTCCTTCCTTGTACATTGTATATAGTATAGTACGAGTTCAATGTTCAAGTTGAAATTAACCATTGTTTACTCACTGACTGACAGACCCTAAAACACCCAAGGAACATGGAACTACGCAATGCTGACCGTTTCAAATCAGCATTGGTTGCTGCATTACAGCTGGCAAGTGGTGACAAGTCTATGGGTGACGATTTCAAAGTACCTAGCCTTACCTAGCCCAGCATAAGGTACCAGGGAATCTCAAACAGGCATTGGATGGTTCATGTACAATCGATCACTGATCATCATCATATCCTTTTGTTAAATGATAACACCTGGTCACCTGACGACCCTTATCGTTGCCAAGGCGATTTGCGATGGTGGACAGCAACAGCTACAGACAGAAGCTGTTCCAGGTCCTAGTGGTTCTACTCTGAGCAGATCACGTGGAAAACTTGATATTCTGGCCATGTTCTGCCGGCGATGGATGTGGAAGATGAGTGGGTTCACACCCTTTTGGATTTCTTTATGTGCAACCCTTAGCTGTGCAGTTATGATGCACCATTCAACAATATTCAACAGCAACGGTTTAGATTCAGATTGTAGATATGCTTGACTCCCAATAGGTAAATGAGCCAGGTTGAAACTAGAAATGGTCTGAAGTTTGAAGCTTGAAGTCTTGGAGTTCCTTTAAACACAATGACACGCAAGTAAGTTTCAAATTTCTAACTACAAATCAGCAATCCAATGCGCCAAGTTCGCCAAGGCTATGACGCCACACAGCAGAAGAAAGAACTGTTCATCGTTGAAGAATATACAACCAGGCAATAGCTGCATGGGCGGAAGTGCGTCACTGGTAGTTATAAGGTTCCATAAATCTGAGCCCTTCGCGAATGGCCCTCATTGGCCCCTACACTGGTAGTGGGCCCTGGTCTAATCAAATCATATAACAATAATACAATCTCAGTCTGAGGCAGTCATACTCAACATGGTTTTTATTTCGCACTATCGGTACCATGATTATTTTTGGACTAATTCGTATAACGCCAGGTCCGAGGACTCCTTCAACAACTTTGTGGCTGTCCTGGGCCTGGGGAGGGAGGATGAGGACCTTCTGCCGCCTGCAAAGTTGCAAACAGAAGCCAGGGTCCTACCCATCATTTGCATGGGCAAGGGTTTCTCGGTGTGGAAATGGGTCATGATCATTGCTGTGAAATGATGCATTCCTGCTTCACTGGTATATATATATAATATATCGATAATAATACCAGGTATATATGTGGTCCATATTCTTTGCTATATATACACTGTATGCCATACGTTCTTCCTTCAATCTACCCAATGTTTGTCTTCCAACGTGTATTCAGTTTGCAATTTAGACTCAGCAAAAGTTAGATGTTAGAAGTTGACAGTGACAGTTCGGTGTTTTCGCGGTGTAGCAGCCCAATCCTTGCGCCAAAGGCTACACGAGCTTTGTGCACAAAGTAGATGCTCTTCTCTACGCACTTGCCCTGGAGTCCACAGTGGATGATCGACAGGCCAATCTGCAAGCCTACGGTCAAAGGGTCATATCATGTTTGTCAGACCAGGGATTCTTGGATATCAATTGTTTGTTTTGGTATTTAGGAATATGAAATTTGAATTACATATATTTGTATTAACATTTAGTTACATTTATTCATATTCAATTCAGTCACTCACTGAACAAAACGACTGGTTTAGTCTCAGTTTCAATACTGTTGTTTTCTAGGTCAGATTAGATTTGATTACCTTTTACCATTAGACTAGGTCGGTCGACGAGGGCATGGATTTTGTTTTCAATGACGCACTCTCTCTTTCTCTCTAACTAAGCAAGCTTAGGCATTGGATAATCCCAAGGCCGGGGGTCCGAACTGACGTCGTTCCATCCCAAGGAACTGAAATCAAGCTCGCCGATACGGTCAGGGTCGACATGGGTCAACTATCCAACGATCTATCTCTGGACTTGATGAATTATCCCAAACATGGACATGATCCCAAGTTGAACAGAGAAGACCTCGAACAACCACCAGCGATTCATGATGCAGCTGCCCATGGTCCCAATGCACAGTGGCCATCTCTTCACACCATGATCTTTGGATATACTTACTTGGCAGGCTAAAATCGAAGTAGAGTTGAGTAAAGAGGAAGTAGGGAGTAGGGAGTAAGTAAAGAATATATATATATATATAGTCAGTACACTAAGACTAAGACTAACATGATTAATATACATTTACATTTAAATTTACATTGCATCTTTTTATAGTATACGACTACTATATGTTATATTTTATCTTTATATAGTTTCCTAGTCACAAGTCGGTAGCAATAAACTGCATTACATCGCATCATATCAGGAAGAATTTGTCTCTGGAGCCAGACTGCCTTGACGAGCCGCACTCAGAGCAACAGCCAGCAGTTGCCTTGGTACCGGCCCGGTTGGAGGATCCAGAGGAAAGCGCTCGATTGGCACGTTTCTTCCCCAACTGTTTCAAGATTCCAGGTATTAAGCATATTTGTGACAACCTTCTGGGCTCTACGTTACAAGCACTTCCACAGTGACTCAGCATCATCGTGTGTGTTTGCTACTTTATAGATATGTTCGATTTTCAACAACTGTCAACTGTCAACTTTTAACACCCAGCCCGGCCCCAACTGAATCATTTTACAGTCTACAGATCGTTGATGATCATGATATAATAGAGTAATTGCAATAACTTTGCAATGGCATTAGAATTGTTAATGGTTTGATCTAACAACGTTCTCTAACTGTAGAGTAGAGTAGACTAGGGTTTCCATTCTGATCCCAAACATTCTTGAATGATAAGCATTGGAGATGGGACAGGCAATTATAGTTATAGTCTAGTATATTAATTTACTTAAATCATATGTTGATGACATCTTGACGATGACCATCGGCATCTCATTGCTAATCTCACTGCCTGCTTTCAACGCAATCAGCCGAGGTGGTCCTCACTCTTGCCGAAGCTGCAGTCACTGGATCAGCTGCTTTCGAACGTGGCGTGGAGGGAGCGATTCGTTGCTCTATGCTTAAATGATCGACCCATGCACGAGAGGAATGCAATCCTACAGTGGAAAGCGGATCATTTGGGCGGATTGCGATGGCAAGTAATATCTGGTTTCTGTCGGGAGGTTTCTTTGATGATCTATGGGGAATAGTTGAGTCGTCGAAGTATGATTGCTGCTGGTGATCACTTATTTGTTTGGAATTATTTGTAACATTTTTTCAATTGGGGTTGGAATACCAGCTATTGACTGCCAACATGTAACATCATGTTGCGATTCGCAAGCTTGTGGTAGTAGTTGTTGCCAAGGTTAGCCAATGATCTAAGCGTCTCCAGCTCCAATCATAAGTTACATGATACTAATACTCACCATTGGCAAGTCTTGAGTGTTGAATCAAATGAGATGATGATAATGCAATATGTAACTAACCAACATGTAGTACTGTAGTATGATTTATGAATGATGTCTATGATAGCGATTGGTGCCATCCCAATCTGAGGTTTTGCCAATTGAGACTTTGCTTCGCAATGCTTGGAACACCAATCGGTACATGCTAGGGTCGGTTGAGACCAAACAACCCTTTCTGGTTGAAGAATGTTCGAAAGCGCATTTACAACGGATACGGGATCTAATGGCCGATGATTACAGTTGGGCATGCATAGCACTGGTTGCTATGTTGTCCAGTGAAGCAGATCTAATTGGATCCTGGTCGGAAGCATGCCCTTGCCACCCTCTTGAGTATGAAACCGGGAGGTCCAGGTCACGGACAAATTCAGCAGCCAAGAAGGAGGCGAAACAATGTCCGTTCCGATCTTGCCGTGCCCCGGAACTCGCTGCCGGCAAAGGAATTCAGCTGTTGTGTGAGCGAATGTCGGGCCACCGTGGCCCTTTCCTTGAGTATGCGCACAAGGCCCCGGAAGCCAAGAGACACGAGTTGATCTCATCATGGAGAGCTGCCTGCTCAAAGTTATTTGGATTCTAGCCCATCAATTCGGGACTGGTGGTGTTATGGCGCCTAGTGATTTTCAAGGTTAAAAGTTTTAAGGTTTTCAAGTTGGAGGTGTGCCATTTTACATCATACAACCGACCCAGGACCTATTCCCATGATATGTGTACTTGGTTCTAATGATCTCTGTGAAATCATCACACATACGGAGTTGTATCTTTACACATGGTCTGATGAGTCCAATGATGGTGATGATGACAAGGTTGATGATGATGATGATGATGATGATAACGTTGTTGTTGTTGTTGTTGTTGTCGTTGTTGTTGTTGTTGTTGATAATGATGATGAAAAGCATGACATCGATGTAGCACCTACATGATCTATGATCAGTCCAATAGTCCAAGGACAGATTTCTTCGAAGCTGGGACACTGGAAGGAACTGCCCTGGTGTCTCTGTACGGAACCTAGCTCTGGGAAGCAACAGAAAAATGTTGAACTGATAGATTGGTCGTCTGAAATGCTTCTATGGATTGCCACGTTATGCTAGTATCCCGGTTGATGTCTTTAAGTATGAATCAATCTGAAATATATTGTATAAACACACATGACACACACACACACACATTAGGTCAATTTGGCAATCATTCAAATTGGATTGGAAATAATTGTGTTGTTTTCAAGCCCTTTCAAGATTTCAGTGAACACATACCAATCAGGTAGACTGGCTAGCTAGAAAACCCACTCTCATTAGACTACTTGATCGAAAATATTCACTATGATTATCATCAGCATCACAATCAGAATCAGAATCAGAATCATCATCATCATCATCATCATCATGACCAATATCACCAACATCACCACTATCACTAGAATTTTACTCATAATCCCTAACAACAACATTGATCTCTAAAGGCATGCACTCGGCATAGGCACACCATGGGTTTCGACATAGACCAACTTGACCTGGCAATGGTAGTTAGTAGTCAATCAATAGGGAGTCTTCAGACACTCGAGACACCAAGGTGGTCTTGCCATCGGGGAAGACGCAGAAGTTCAACACATCGCGGCACACTGCATTCGTTTGTTCGACGGTGCCCCTCGTTCCCCTGGATCGCTCCATCCACAGTCCCAACGGTTTTTGAACTGTAATTGGCAAGGACTAAATGGACAGGGTTATTGCGGTTCCTCACCCGACCCACCTCTCCGACATCTCATGGAACTATTAGCCGATGGAGAGGCTACATTATATGATTTTGTTCAACAAAGAGAGGTTGGAGATGACGCCGATCCCTCTCAACTTGGCTTGGCACTGTCCAAACAGAGCATATTGTACTGGGTCGCTGCCTTTCGATTGGTCCTTCAACTTCATTAAGGAACATTGATTCTTGTGGTATTAGAGCAGGTTCATATATGATGTTTCTTAATAATACCATTTCACTGATCTGATTGAATTGAACTAACTAACTGTTCCCAGTTCCCAATCCCAACTACCGAAGATGAATATGATATTGATTCATTCATGACATCAAATGACATTCTGATATAAACTATACTGAATTACCAAATGTAAAGTAATTGAAAAATATGATTCCCTGAATTCCCTGAATTCGCTCACACTGCTGAGGTTCGAATAGCCGAGCGCTCGGTGGAGGGACGCCACTCAGTGATTCACTACATTCAAAAGAGAGCCCCACGGGCATCAATTCCATATCTTTCTCTAGAGTTGAGATTCAAACATCTTCAGCAGGTCGCTGCAACAAGCCCGGAGTGCCTTCATTCTATGATCAATCACCTCATGGGTCTGGAAACAACCATTGGTCTCAGAAAAGCAGTGATGTACCTTGTCATCATTGAGTTCACATCACGATGTACTTGTATGTATTTGCAGCATGTAACATCTTAGCAAGAATTGAACCAATTGGTGAAGGTGGGAATGTGAATACATTGATATCTTGATCAACATCTGAATGTAGATATAGAACACACATCCCATTGCACTACCCCAGTTCATCACCGGGCTGAGGTCGCTTTTGGGACTGCATTCTCAGGTGGCCGAATATCTCGGAACACTTTCGTTGAACGAACTCATGAAGGTGGTCTACAGGGATCACATAGTCATGAAACATGCATCAAGAAAACGGTTAGCTACAGAGATGACCGAAACATCGAAACAGATTGACAATCAGCTGAATGCCGAGAATCCCCGGTCGGAGAATTCCGCACAAGTGACCATGGATGTTCTCTCCAAGATGTTGGTCCGATATCTTATCCTGGTCCCCTGGCATTGACGGTGAACATCTTCTAGCATGTAACGTTGTCGGTAGTTAGCTGTTCAGCATTTAGTCTGATACAGTAATAATAAGTTTTTTTTAAAAAAAAACATATCACTGACTATCACTATTCACTATCACTGCAGCCACTATAGTTACCATAGAGGTACTCTAACAACAAAATGATTAAACTGAACATCTCCAATCTCATCCCTTCAATCATTTCCACAATGTGAGATAACTTTTTTTCATGAGATATTGGGATGCTAGAATCAACATAAAGTGTTTATTGTTTATAAGTTTTAAGTTATATCACATGGTGGCTACTTTTCCAAGGTCAGCCAGAAGGACGTGACAAAGATCTTTTCATTGGACATGGAGACCATGGTCACCGGGACTTCATGCCTGAGGGATCCAATGCCCGCATTGCAGTCGGATGGGCCCAGGACGTCAAAGAGAACCCCGGACGGATAGCCATTGTTACTGTGAGTAGTACAAGCAAATGAGAAATAATAATAATGAACTTAATAGAAACATACATTATTTATTGATGAATCGATGCCACTGAAATGAAACTAATATATTACTGTTCAGATCATCTCATATCACTGAACTTACCACCACATATGCCAGGCATGCATGTTGTGTACTTTACTGTAATAGAGATGATGAGTACGGCTTCCTCGCTCGCCCAGGATTGGTCCTGGAGGATGAGCGGATGGAGGCAATTGTCGCATCGGAGGCTCAGGGCGCATTTCCAGCCATACAGGATGCCAGACGTAAGATTGTGTTCTTCAGGCCGGTTGACAACAATATGGCCTACCAAACATTCCTTGGGACTGGCATGAAGACCAATTTCGATTTTGTCACCCAAGCATTCTCCATCATCGAGTCTCAGGCAAACAAGGTCACACATTCGGTCAATCAAGTGCGTATTGGTGCTCCGAGCGGGCCACCGCTGGCAATGAAATTATCAGATGTGCCGTATTCGATTCTGTCAGAGAAGCTTACCATCTGGGATGCTGGAAAGACTGGATACCATGTACAAGCCAAAGGTGATATGTACCATGGCAAACCGGCATCAACATTTTTTGGCCTGTTCACTGAATTCACTGTTACAATTACGATTGTTTGATTTGTACATAACTCAGCATTCGGGTAGATGGTTAGGTTATATATATATAATATTCGGATAAGAACTATCTTTATACAGTATAGTATAGTTATAGCAATCGCACACACACAATATATATATAATATGTATATATATATATAATATATGTATATATATATATATATAATATATACATGTATATATATATGGCGCTAGGGGCTATGGCGTAGATTTTTCTCCAAGCTTAATCAAAAGAATAACCCTAAATAAGATAATTTAGCCTAGAATTTGTAGTGCTGAACATCCTCCACCAATATCAACCATCCGCTTCCGGCTAAGGCCCCAGATGGCGGCCGAGCTTTTGGTACACATGGCATCGTTGGGCGCATTCTCTGGGAGGGCTGACAGCGGTTTTTATGTATCTCCGGAGAAGGAAGCTACCGAACTCGAGTTCCTCCTGAAACACAATTATGTCGCCCAGATGCTCTAGATTATATATGATGGTATTTTTCATTCTTTAACTTCAACGTTATCGTTATTGGATTATTAGATTAGACAAGTCGGTCAGACCCGAAAGTGTTTAAAAACAATTGATATATGATATAACATTATTGGTTTAGGTCAGTTCAGGTCAAACATCGGAGAACAAACTTAAACAGACTATGCCGATTGACCTGTTTTTTTTTTTAAATAGGGTACGGCCGGTAATAGGGAGGACCATCACTCATACCGGGAGATTCTTTAATAGTGATGTGGTAAAAACTGTAACATTTGGATGAAACTGAAACCCTGTGATGATTCACAACATGAACACAAGGTTCAGCAAGTGGATCAGAAGCTGGATATGTTCTGGATCTCTCCACGGGGCCGAGAATGTTTGGAGCTTGATCAAAGCTACACGAATCCATCGAGGTTTGTTTCTTTCCGGCTGCATGACACCCCTACTGGAAAGTTAGACGGCAGCGATCTTGTTCCATTCGAAGCCTTGTTGGAACTTGCACGTAGGGGGTGGACACACGAAAGACGCATGACGTCAAGGAAAGTTGATACCTACAAACCGAATGGCACAAAGAAATGGTTTTTCAGCAAGAATGTATGCAAATACTACTTGAAGGTCCTGCTCAGTTCAGACCGACTCTTTGAAATGGGGCTGAAGGAGATTTACCACTTCCAACCAGCCACATATTACAAAACCATTTTGTTCATGATGAAGTTCCCAGAGAAGTTGAACACCGTGAAACCCTGGCAATCCCGATCGTTCTACATCTTGATGCAGCAGCAAGCGATCAAACCAACGGCCAAGAGAACATCTGCTGGTATGACTGGTATGGTCTTAGAAGAGGAATGTGGAGGCAGACTTTTGGCATGAGGGGAGCGGGGGGGGGGGATGAGGGGCCAGAAGATATGCCAGATAAAGTGCCAGAAGATATGCCAGGTAGAATGCCTGAAGATATGCCAGATAGAATGCCAGATCGAATGCCAGAAGATTTGCCAGATAGAATGCCAGAAGATTTGCCAGCAACAAATCAATAAATGTCATGGTGGGGATCACACGAAGTAAAGTAATTTATTTGCTCGGCTGATATTTTAATATTGCCGTTTCTTCCTTCTTAGCTTAGCACATGGCTCAACTTTGCCGTAGCCTTCAT